AGTAGCATAGGGCAGCCAACTAATATTGGTTGGGGGTAATAGTAGCATAGGGCAGCCAACTAATATTGGTTGGGGGTAATAGTAGCATAGGGCAGCCAACTAATATTGGTTGGGGGTAATAGTAGCATAGGGCAGCCAACTAATAGTGTTTGGGGGTAATAGTAGCATAGGGCAGCCAACTAATAGTGTTTGGGGTTAATAGTAGCATAGGGCAGCCAACTAATATTGGTTGGGGGTAATAGTAGCATAGGGCAGCCAACTAATATTGGTTGGGGGTAATAGTAGCATAGGGCAGCCAACTAATATTGGTTGGGGGTAATAGTAGCATAGGGCAGCCAACTAATATTGTAAAATTTTATGAAAGATTGAACAAATAGTTCAGCTCAATGTTTCTTTTTCATTGGAACAAAACTAATAGATGAATTTCTTTAAAAGCTTAATTAAAGTTTTATTGTAAAGTCATTAAATGTATAGTTAACAACAATTAATTCCCTGCCTTAAGAAAGGCATTCTATTTTGCATCGAATTTAGTTTGAATCGTAATCTTGAAGAGGAAATTTAAAAGTAACAAATGTTGAACAACCCATTGATAACTTTCATGATGTGGGAATACTCTTCATAAAGGAAATCATGGATAAAAAGCATTTCCTTTCTTAAAACTTAATTTGAGTGAACAGATTGTAATTTCCATGTCTCTCGTCCTGTTGCTTAATATTTAAAACTTTGTATCAATATTTCCTTGTTAATGTCGAAGACTTATTTGCTCTCAACCATTCCTGAAATATATATACATTTTTTTTTTTACAATTTCAAGTTATCTACAGCTTATCCAAGTTAATCTTCATCACCTGGTTGATGTTCAAATGACCCCTTGCAATTATTTTAAAAAAATAAATGTATATTAGAATCTCAATATGCTTCAATAAGAAAATATTTTTATTTCCTTCCTAAAATGAATTCTTCCATTTTGTCTGTGGCAGATGGGGCCAACTTTAAATTGAAGTTTGAAATTGTTTAAATCTGGCAGCTACTTGCCTGAATGGACCTGTTAATGTAACCTTCTCAAATGTTAATTGTCTTTATTTTAGCTGTCATATTGATTGCCAAACTTATTTTTTTAGAGGCACAGGATTAGTTTATGTATGAAACTAGAAAATAGTGAAACAATAAGCTTATAATATAATAGAAAGAAAGGACCAACTAAAAGAGAACATTTTGGCTAAGAATCTTCTCAATCCTACAGGATAAAAGAAGAAACAGAAATAAATAACAAAAAAACACACAAGAACTTGTGTTTTTGGATTTCACTATGCTTGCCATGTTATTGCATTATGTTGGGTTTTCTTAACTCAAATGTTCTCTTTCAATTGTTCTGTCTTTATATTTCAAGTTTTCAAATACCTTGTTCCAACATTTCCTTCACACAGCTTGAACACAGTTTTTCATTTATTATCCTATGAGATTAGATGTTGACTCTTCAAGTTATTATTTATTCACAAAGCAAAAATGGTTGTAATTTTCAAAAAATTGTTTATGTCATTTCTGGGTTTAAAGTATGTACACTGAAAACATTTTGGTAAAATTGTATAGAAACAAACTTTCCAGTTTGTATTTTGGTAAACATTAATGAGCATTTTCCATTATTTCATTATGTTAAGCTTGTAATCATTCTGGAGTTCATATTTTATACTACTTACTATGTGAACAATTTGTTAGTGACATCAAATATATTACTTGTGAAGACAATGTTTAAGATATCTATGGGAGATCAGCCAGGATTGTGAAGTAAAAAAACAAACTTTGTCCATTCCCTTGAATGCCTTGACCCTTTTACTTAACCAAAATCAAGCAGCTTTGTCTTTCAATGAAATTTATTTATGGCATGGTAGCGTGGACATAGTCTGGATTAGGTCACATTTCACAAGTCAGTGTGTCAGAGAGAGAAGGATGAAAGGGAATATTGGCTGAAACATATTACTTGACATTGTGAATACTTGACATTTGTGTTTACTTGACATTGTGTGTACTTGACATTGTGTGCACTTGACATTGTGTGCACTTGACATTGTGTGTACTTGACATTGTGTTTACTTGACATTTTGTCTACTTGAAATAGTGTGCACTTGACATTTGTGTGTAATTTGATTGTGAATGCTTATGATTAATGTGTTGTATAAATTGCCCTCCTGTTTAAAATTCATAAAGCTCTCATTACAACAAATGTAGTAGATATTTTATTTTTGTTCTGATAATGTAATTTATTGGGTTAACCAACTGGAAAGCACCTTACATAGTGCTTACCTACCCAGTAAGTAAACAATGTTGAACCATTACAAATTACTCAATAAGCTTAGAAACTAAAGATGTCTTAGGGCACTTAAAGCCTTATAGCCTCAATTTACTGTATTTAAAGTAATAAAATAACCTAGAACTTTTTTCTTTTAAAAGGAGAATTATCTTAAGTAGTTTTGATTTTTTCAATAATTACATTATATAACATAAAATTATTGCTTTTTTTTTTTGGCATTGTTCAGAGTTGTAAATTATTTTGTATAATCTTTGTTTTATTTTGTTTACTTAATGGCATAAAATATTATTCAATGTGATTGTCAAAATAAAATATCGGAAGGACATGAAGGAAGAAAGTCAACATATCTTGTCACATTTGCCTAACAGTTCTCGTTGCTCATAATACTTAAATATAGAAACTTGATGATGAAATTTAATTGATTCACTAAATTCAACAACCTGGTGTTCAATTATCAAAGTTTAATTATACAAGACATTTTAATTTTTTAAATTAATTTTTGAAATATGTACTTGAAAATTAAAAAAATAAAATAATTCCCAATAATAATTATATATATGAGATAATTTCATAATTTAGCTGTAAGCAATACTTATAAATGAAATCTCCAATGATAAAATTAGAAAAATTGAGAAGCAAAGTACAATGGTTTGTTCATTGGTTTGCCTTGTAGGCTTTGTTTCAATCATGTCATGGAAGCCGTGCATTCAAGCATGTCAGCAACCAATCAGTGATACACTTGTGATACCATTAATATGATTAGTGAATTACTTAGAAAGAAAAAATCTGTAAAAAAATTTTCTGTTGAATTAGTACAGTTGTGCAGGTTCTAAAGTGGACCTACATTGGAAGCACATTCTCTTTGCTATTTATCTATTAATATTGGCTGATAAAAAATTATTGTCAAAATTAAATCCCCTTCGCCACAAACTTTTCGTGGATTCCGTCAGGGACAATTAATTAATTTAATCAATAATGTAACAAATAAAAATGACTTTATCAAAATCTACATTGTTTTAAAAAAAAAATAATTACTAAATTTTAATATTTTCAATATTTTAAAAAAAGAAAATATGCAAATATTTCATTGCCTTGTAGATGAAACTCATGTTGTAGATACCCATTTCAAATGTGAATAAAATGTATAAATAGCAGTGAACAAATAAATTTACATAAAATCAAATGGGTTTGTGTTATTTTTTATAGGTATAAAAATATCTTCTTCCTTTTTAAGAAACAATGATTGATTCAGACCATGATCCAATGTTTCAGTTTGATTCAGACCATGATCCAATGTTTCAGGTTGATTCAGACCATGATCCAATGTTTCAGTTTGATTCAGAACATGATCCACTGTTACAGGCTGATTCAGACAATTAACCATTGTTACAGGTTGATTCACACAATCATACACTATTTCAGGCTGATTCAGACCATGATCCACTATTTCAGGCTGATTCAGACTATGATCCACTGTTACAGGTTGATTCAGACCATGATCCACTATTTCAGGCTGATTCAGACCATGATCCACTGTTACAGGCTGATTCAGACCATGATCCACTGTTACAGGCTGATTCAGACCATGATCCACTATTTCAGGCTGATTCAGACCATGATCCACTGTTACAGGCTGATTCAGACCATGATCCACTGTTACAGGCTGATTCAGACCATGATCCACTGTTACAGGCTGATTCAGACCATGATCCACTGTTACAGGCTGATTCAGACCATGATCCACTGTTACAGGTTGATTCAGACCATGATCCACTGTTACAGGTTGATTCAGACAATGATCCACTATTTCAGGCTGATTCAGACAATGATCCACGGTTACAGGTTGATTCAGACCATGATCCACTGTTACAGGTTGATTCAGACCATGATCCACTATTTCAGGCTGATTCAGACCATGATCCACTATTTCAGGCTGATTCAGACCATGATCCACTGTTACAGGCTGATTCAGACAATGATCCACTATTTCAGGCTGATTCAGACCATGATCCACTATTTCAGGCTGATTCAGACCATGATCCACTGTTACAGGCTGATTCAGACAATGATCCACTGTTACAGGCTGATTCAGACCATGATCCACTGTTACAGGCTGATTCAGACCATGATCCACTGTTACAGGCTGATTCAGACAATGATCCACTGTTACAGGCTGATTCAGACCATGATCCACTGTTACAGGCTGATTCAGACAATGATCCACTGTTACAGGCTGATTCAGACAATGATCCACTGTTACAGGCTGATTCAGACCATGATCCACTGTTACAGGCTGATTCAGACCATGATCCACTGTTACAGGCTGATTCAGACCATGATCCACTGTTACAGGTTGATTCAGACCATGATCCACTATTTCAGGTTGATTCAGACCATGATCCACTATTTCAGGCTGATTCAGACCATGATCCACTGTTACAGGCTGATTCAGACAATGATCCACTATTTCAGGCTGATTCAGACCATGATCCACTATTTCAGGCTGATTCAGACAATGATCCACTGTTACAGGTTGATTCAGACAATGATCCACGGTTACAGGCTGATTCAGACCATGATCCACTGTGACAGGCTGATTCAGACAATGATCCACTGTTACAGGCTGATTCAGACCATGATCCACTGTTACAGGCTGATTCAGACAATGATCCACTGTTACAGGCTGATTCAGACAATGATCCACTGTTACATGCTGATTCAGACAATGATCCACTGTTACAGGCTGATTCAGACAATGATCCACTGTTACAGGCTGATTCAGACAATGATCCACTGTTACAGGCTGATTCAGACCATGATCCACTGTTACAGACTGATTCAGACCATGATCCACTATTTCAGGCTGATTCAGACGCTCATCTACTATAATAGTTTTATTCAGAGAGTCCTCATGGGCTCCAGGTTGGTTGAGATGATCATTTAATGTTTCACTTTGGTTCGGAATCTCTGTCTGGAGCTCGTCCCCCTGTTCTACTTTTGAATATCTCACAGACAGACGCTTTTCTCTAGCTGTTGTGTGTTTTGCCTTCGTGCACTTGGCTGTGCCTTGCCTACACTGACTGAACAATCGTCTCATTGGAGTAAGTAGAAATCTGTCCCATTCTGGATTTGAGAAGAGTACAATCAAAATTGGAAGAATTCCTCCACAAAACAGGTAGAACATTCTCAAGCCTAAAGTCTCGAGCTTGTAGCCGGCACCAAGTGTAGTGACCACATGGTCTTGTGGACTTGAAGTAGCGCTGTCCGCGTCTACTGCCCTCGGTTCTGGATAATCACAGAAAAAATGATTTAAACTATTAGTAACATTTAATTTCTATCAGCAGTTTTTATTATGTTTTTAAGCATGTTAAACATATTGTAAAGTTTGGCATGTACTCAATAACGTTGGTAGAGCCAGGTAGTCGCATTAGAGCATTGTTGGTACGCTGAGGAGGGACGGTTCTGCACTAACCTATGCACAATTATGCCCCAGTAAAGCAGAATAATCGATTTCTCATCACAAGAAACAATAAACAAAATAAAATATGCAATACAGCTGTCAGGTGATCCATCCGAAGAAATGCCTCTACAAGGCATTTTAAGAACATACAGATCTTTAATAACCTTTTAAAAATGGTGCGGTGGATTTATGGTTTTGTTGTTTGGTTGGTTGATTTATGATTTTTTTGTTTGGTTGGTTGATTTATGGTTTTGTTGTTTGGTTGGTTGATTTATGATTTTTTTGTTTGGTTGGTTGATTTATGATTTTTTTGTTTGGTTGGTTGATTTATGATTTTGTTGTTTGGTTGGTTGATTTATGGTTTTGTTGTTTGGTTGGTTGATTTATGATTTTTTTGTTTGGTTGGTTGATTTATGATTTTTTTTTTGGTTGGTTGATTTATGGTTTTGTTGTTTGGTTGGTTGATTTATGATTTTTTTGTTTGGTTGGTTGATTTATGATTTTTTTGTTTGGTTGGTTGATTTATGATTTTGTTGTTTGGTTGGTTGATTTATGGTTTTGTTGTTTGGTTGGTTGATTTATGATTTTTTTGTTTGGTTGGTTGATTTATGATTTTTTTGTTTTGTTGATTCAGTGGTTGAAAACTCATTACTCAAAAAAGCCAACCATCAGCAGCAGGAAGATTAAAAAAAAGAACCTGCCAAGAACCATGTATTTCGGTGTCAAAACCGATTTGTGGCCGGCTGGCCGAGCCACGCCACGCTCAGGTCGCCAAAGTGCTGCATGCGGCTTGCGGGCCGAGATTTGCCGATCATTGGCTTGGTTGGTTGTTTTTTGTTCTATTAAAGTTCTAAATGACATACTTTTAAGTTAGAGCTTCACAAGAAAAGGTGAATCCTTCTATTGCTCTTATATAACTTATGAATGACTGAACACGCCATCCATAGCTTCTATTCGTTGGTGTTAAGGACTGCAAGTGTCTCCAATAATGTATGGGATCCATATTCGGGATAAGGAATGACCTATTTTAGGTACGCTATTATTTGGATTGGTGCCAGGTAAGTGCCACCCTCCCCCCCCCTCCTGTCCACTTCTAAACCATTTTGATTTATGATAGTCTATACGCGTTGGTACAGTTCTTTTAATGTTTTATTGGTTTCAGTTCGAACAACTTACCAAAAATGTCTTAACTTATCCCCGTCTTATGCAGAAAGTACGCGGACAAAAAATAGGGGTTGTGGGGTTAGAGAAGATGTGTATTTTTTTGTGGACGTCAGTTGTCAACCCCCCCCCCCCAACTTCCCAATTAAAGCTGCTATCCCTTGGAGACGAGGCAGCCACTCTACCTACAATGACGCTCCAGGACAGATATTTGGGCACCTGAACTATGTCTCACCGGTCCAGTGTCTACTCACCCTCGCTGCACTGATCATCGCAGGTCGAATTTTCTGCAGCACAGAGTAACACACAGCAGGACACCAACACACTGGCAGCCAACAGTCGGGACGTCATGACTGCTGGGTTATGTCTTTAAGATCATGGGCTGAGCAAGGCTTTAAGATCATGGGCTGAGCAAGGCTTTCAAAACTTCAATAAAAAATAACACGTTTTAAACTGGAAGGTGTTGTCAACATTACCCTGGATTTCTATTGCCGAATAATCAACAAACATGTATCTCTATGTAACAATGTCTGTTACTAATGCTACAGCAATTCTCTATGTAACAATGTCCTTCACTAATGCCGAGGCTATTCTCTATGTGACAATGTCTGTAGCTAACGCCGAGCCCATTTTCTATGTAACATTGTCACTAACNGGACAAAAAAAAGGGGTTTGGGGGTTAGAGAATATGTTTATTTTTTTTTGGACGCCCGTTTGCCCCCCCCCCCCCCCCCAACTTCCCAATTAAAGCTGCTATCCCTTGGAGACGAGGCAGCCACTCTACCTACAATGACGCTCCAGGACAGATATTTGGGCACCTGAACTATGTCTCACCGGTCCAGTGTCTACTCACCCTCGCTGCACTGATCATCGCAGGTCGAATTTTCTGCAGCACAGAGTAACACACAGCAGGACACCAACACACTGGCAGCCAACAGTCGGGACGTCATGACTGCTGGGTTATGTCTTTAAGATCATGGGCTGAGCAAGGCTTTAAGATCATGGGCTGAGCAAGGCTTTCAAAACTTCAATAAAAAATAACACGTTTTAAACTGGAAGGTGTTGTCAACATTACCCTGGATTTCTATTGCCGAATAATCAACAAACATGTATCTCTATGTAACAATGTCTGTTACTAATGCTACAGCAATTCTCTATGTAACAATGTCCTTCACTAATGCCGAGGCTATTCTCTATGTGACAATGTCTGTAGCTAACGCCGAGCCCATTTTCTATGTAACATTGTCACTAACGCCGAGGCAATTCTCTATGTAACAATGTCTGTAGCTAACGCCGAGCCCATTCTCTATGTTACAATGTCTGTCACTAACGCAATTCTCTATGTAACCTTATCTGTCACTAAGACCACGACAGACGCATAGTTGAACTTATTTTCTTGTCTTTTCTAAGATATTCCGCAAATTTGTAATTTTATTATTTATTTTGGCGTAACTCTTGTTTATTATTGTTGATCCCTAAAGAGGTGCTAACAGCTTAGAGACATTAAAATGTGTTTGATAAGCATGGTCATTCATATAAGAACAAGAAGCTAAACACTTTGACCACCCTGGTCATTCATATAAGAACAAGAAGCTAAGCACCTTGATCAGCATGGTCATTCATATAAGAAGAAGAAGCAAACACTTTGACCAGCTAGGGTTAGTGCCCTTGTAACTAGTGCTTGTATTTAGTTTTTGACTTGAACAGGAAGGTAGCTAGGGTTAGTGCCCTTGTAACTAGTGCTTGTATGTAGTTTTTGACTTGAACAGGAAGGTAGCTAGGGTTAGTGCCCTTGTAACTAGTGCTTGTATTTAGTTTTTGACTTGAACAGGAAGGTAGCTAGGGTTAGTGCCCTTGTAACTAGTGCTTGTATGTAGTTTTTGACTTGAACAGGAAGGTAGCTAGGGTTAGTGCCCTTGTAACTAGTGCTTGTCTTTAGTTTTTGACTTGAACAGGAAGGTAGCTAGGGTTAGTGCCCTTGTAACTAGTGCTTGTATTTAGTTTTTGACTTGAACAGGAAGGTAGCTAGGGTTAGTGCCGTTGTAACTAGTGCTTGTATGTAGTTTTTGACTTGAACAGGAAGGTAGCTAGGGTTAGTGCCCTTGTAACTAGTGCTTGTATTTAGTTTTTGACTTGAACAGGAAGGTAGCTAGGGTTAGTGCCGTTGTAACTAGTGCTTGTCTTTAGTTTTTGACTTGAACAGGAAGGTAGCTAGGGTTAGTGCCCTTGTAACTAGTGCTTGTCTTTAGTTTTTGACTTGAACAGGAAGGTAGCTAGGGTTAGTGCCCTTGTAACTAGTGCTTGTCTTTAGTTTTTGACTTGAACAGGAAGGTAGCTAGGGTTAGTGCCCTTGTAACTAGTGCTTGTATGTAGTTTTTGACTTGAACAGGAAGGTAGCTAGGGTTAGTGCCCTTGTAACTAGTGCTTGTATGTAGTTTTTGACTTGAACATGAAGGTAGCTAGGGTTAGTGCCCTTGAACAGGAAGGTAGCTAGGGTTAGTGCCCTTGTACAGGAAGGTTGCTAGGGTTAGTGCCCTTGAACAGGAAGGTAGCTAGGGTTAGTGCCCTTGAACAGGAAGGTAGCTAGGGTTAGTGCCCTTGAACAGGAAGGTAGCTAGGGTTAGTGCCCTTGAACAGGAAGGTAGCTAGGGTTAGTGCCCTTGAACAGGAAGGTAGCTAGGGTTAGTGCCCTTGAACAGGAAGGTTGCTAGGGTTAGTGCCCTTGAACAGGAAGGTAGCTAGGGTTAGTGCCCTTGAACAGGAAGGTAGCTAGGGTTAGTGCCCTTGAACAGGAAGGTAGCTAGGGTTAGTGCCCTTAAACAGGAAGGTAGCTAGGGTTAGTGCCCTTGTACAGGAAGGTAGCTAGGGTTAGTGCCCTTGTACAGGAAGGTAGCTAGGGTTAGTGCCCTTGAACAGGAAGGTAGCTAGGGTTAGTGTCGGGGGCGGCGATCCAAGAACTTTTCTGCACCCTTCCACGAAAAAAAAAAAAAGTTGGCCGAAAATGCCGCCCCTCCATAAAAATAGAATAAAAATACCAGGGGTGGGCCGCTCCCTCTGCGCCCCTCTTGCTACGCCACTGGCTTTGATTATAATTAGGTAAGACGGTTAGATACACTTCAGACCATTTAATCTTTTAGATCTTTTAGTTTGAATTAAATTCTATTGACGCAATAGCCTTCAAATCGCTATTATGAACGTATTGCCCGTCTAGTTACCAGCCTAATGTAGCATGCAATGTTAGCTAGACCACCCGTTACATGGTCCACTGTTTAACAGTGTACCCTCTTGTAATCAATAAGAGGAAAGAAAAAAAACCCTAACAATTTTGTAATAATGTTTGGATAGCAAGATAAGAGTTCCATGTCAGGAACGGATCGATTTTCATACAATTTATAAGCTGTTTTTTTAAGATATACATTTTCTTTGGTACGACAACATGGCTGCAGTGTAACGTGTCTGCAGGGGTGTGCCGAGGTAAAGGTGCGCCCGGGGCGAGGACTGAACATGCCCGCCCCTGCCCCATGTCCTCAATAAATGATATATATATATATATACGTATGCGGAATATATATATATCAGGGCAGTTTACGATTTTGATACCCCTGAGGCTGGCCCAAGGAGCGGTACCCATCCGCTCCCCTCCCCTTTTGCAAGGCCATGCCTAAAGGCCTGTCACGCCCCACTAACCTTCTTTCGGTCAGAAATAAACCTGGAAGGTCATCAACCATTTCAAGAAAACTTTATTTCATGGATTATTTATTTTCAACGAAAAAGCTGTACATACATTTCAGAGCAGCAGAAAACTATGTCCTAGAAACCCCACACAAAAAAGCTGTCACTGGTATCAAGCATGGATTAATGTTATAGGTTCTTTAAGAGGCCTACCCTTTTCCAAAAAAAAACTTCTTTTAATTTAATAACGTTTTGTTTTCATAACTACACATAAAACAACTGTCACCCATTAACCACTCTGCCCGCCTCACTGTGTCCTGACTAAACAGTTCACTAGCCTCACAATTAGTCAATGATAATACACACATGCATAAATAAATACATACCACTGAAACATGAAGCCAAGGTTTAACAACAACAAAAAATGGTTTCGGGGAGTCCCGCTACAAAGCAACATTTATATTTCCCGATATTTTAGTGCCTTGTAATCCACTTTCAGCCAACATTTCAATGTGTACCGGTACACAATTGTCCCTCACAATGTTTCTTTCAGGCTTCTCTCCCGGCTGGTGGGGGTGGGTTGGGGCAGTGACCCCCGGTAAAAGTTAAATGCCCCAGAGCAAAATGTGTGCAACATTAAAGCGAATATTTAATTTACAAACAAACAAATAGTACAGCCAGTGAAATATCGGTGCGCTCAATATATTTAACTAGCGAGAACCCGGCATGAGTTGCAATGTCACTCAAAGAAAAAAAGTGTTTGTGTTTTAAATGCGTTTTTGAAGTAATTTTTAAATAGAAAATGTGTTGTGTTTTTTTCCGTCTGGTGCGTGCACAGATAAATTAGAAACTTGTTTGACGCGTGAGCAGGCAACATACACCTGTCCAGGTGAGCAGGCAACATACACCTGTCCAGGTGAGCAGGCAACATACACCTGTCCAGGTGAGCAGGCAACATCCAGCTGTCCACGTGATAAGCATGGACCTGCAAAATGTAGTCCTCACACTTGCAGCGATTGATCCACCCATGCAGCAGCTCTGTTTTAAATTATATTGATATAGCTCACATAAAAAAAAGGCCCCCGTCCCCAAACGCAAACTTATAAACTTTGGCCCTATATAGTCGATTCGCGCTATGACGTCATTAGCGTGTTTATTAAAACCAATTAATTTAAACTAGATGGAGCCCGACAAACATTGGCGACAGCAAGGCGTGAACTTCCCACCTCCTAAAGTTACTTGACAAAAACTGGAACTCAGTGACGCACATTTAAGAATGCCAATTTTGCTACACCCTCCCCCCCCCCCGTTTTTTTCCCATGACATGTCACTGCATTTTTTAGTTCACGCCCATGGACTATATAAATGTTCTCATGTCCCAACCACTTTTAAGGGACGATTTCATTACCGAATTCCCACCCCCCAAAATTACTTGACAAAAACTGGAACCCCGTGACCCACATTTAAGAACGCCAATTTTTCTACCCCCCCCCCCCCCCCCCGTTTTTTTCCCATGACATGTCACTGCATTTTTTAGTTCACGCCCATGGACTATATAAATGTTCTCATGTCCCAACCACTTTTAAGGGACGATTTCATTACCGAAAATAAAATATTACGCACCAAACGCAATTGCGTTATTAAAAATAGATATATATCATTTAGCGTAGTTAACAGGAATTATATTTTGCGCGCTAGTGAACTCATTATTTAAACACACTCTGGCGTATCTATATATAGCCTGCGTGCTGGCGAATTATATATCCAGATTTTATTTCGCTATATTAACAACGCACTAAAAAACGCACTAAACAATACAGATGTTTGGGTTTTTCCGATAAATGCGATCACGATGTAATTCTTTGATCATATCTTTTTAAACAATCCCCCCCCCCACCCCCCCCACCCCCCATAAGTTTCAAACTTGGATAAAATGCTTAAAAGAGTTCTTTTATTATTACTTGCAATGTAACTGCAATTTGTAATAATAATACTTAAACTTTTACTAAAATAAAAGCTGATATATAATATTTTTTGCGCATTTAAATTTATTGGATTTCCATAAAATAATAGAACATAACTATGATTGGTTTTATGAATCCGAACGTATTGAAATCTTTTCGTTTCTTTGGCGACACGGTCAGCATATCTCATTCTTATATACATATATATATATATATATATATGATCCGATAGATTTCAGGCAAATCAAGATTCCAAATACCAGACTGTCTTTACCAAAATAAACCGCTCCCCACTTGAAGCCGCGCCTCTACTTTTCATTGTTCATTGTTATCGTTGTTTTAAAGATTTATTATTGTTTGTTACCATTGTTTGTTGCAATCATGGTCGGG